CATGCCCATGTCCAAAGCCCCTCTCCAGCTCTCCTGGAGGCTCCATTCAGGCACTGGAAGGAATATATCCCTGTGTACAATATTTCTCTGCTGCACTGAGCCAAAACTTCAGACTGAGGGGAAAAACTTACCCATATAGGTAGTAAAAAAAGGATAGAAGGTAGAATGCTAATTTGCACCATCCTTCTTTCTGGCAATAGGCTAAAATATCTGCATTCATGATGGTCGTAGGGTCGTAGAGCCCCGGGCCGCTCATCACGGGTCTGCTCATGTACCTGGAACGGGGGCACAGGGAGTGTGGGATGAGGGCCACGGGAAACATTGGATCCTACCCCCCACCCACCAAGGAACACCAGGACACACAACACAACTCTCACACAGCACAAGAGAATAAAAAATTAAAACACCCGACGAAGCCAAGTGATGGTTCTTATTGTGCAGCCACAAACTTTCGTGGTGTCGTGTCAAAAAAGCGTCTTTGTTTTCCCAAGACACAGAACACGGGACAGGACACGGCAACGGGAGGACAAGAACAATTCACTGAGCACAGCCACACCAAAATTACCTCCAAATATGATAGGCCAACAAGGGCATATTGAGACCCAGTGTGAGCCACTCTGCTGCACAGAGAAACATGACACAGAAGAATGCATGGATGAGGTACTCTGGAAGTACAAGCTGGAAAAGAAAAAGATGAGTTAGAAGTTTCGATCACACAGAGCAAAACGTGTGGCGTTTCAGCTGCTTTGGAGGTGAGTGTTTGCTTAAAAATCATGTTTAAAACCAACACTAACAAGAACAAGACTGTGGAACGTGAAAGCAGCAGCCAGCAGTGCTGCCTTGCTGTTTTCACATGATGTTCATGGACCAAGTAGAAAAATTTATAAAATCAGATGCTCAGATCGATATTTTTTTTATTGCTTCTAATAAAGTGACAGATTCCCCGCTTTACACGTGACCCTCAGAAAAGATCATCGTGATATTTCTGCTCATGCAACAGCGAAATATCAGCAGGAAACATGCTCCTTAGAACGGCTTGTAGGCAGAAGGATGTTTGTGTTCTCCTGGTTCACAGCTTTGCTTTGGTATCCACACGTCCACAACTTCTCAAAGTCGAATTACTGCCAAAATGTAACACCCCAGGCAGAGCTTCACCCAACCAAACCAGTCACACACACGGGTCGGCTCCACACGGGCAGTTTGGGGGGAATGAGGCAGTTTTCCCTCCCAGTTCCCACTGTGCATGCCTTACAGCACCATGCTTCCAGCAGAAGCCCACAGAGCTCATCCTCAGGGAACCATGGAACCACAGGAAGCATGAAATGCCAGGTGGATTAGTGTTGTTAATAGGAACAACATGGAGAGGTACAGAGAGGAAACACATGCAAAGGGCTGCGGAACCTCACGTCCACCACGAGAGGAAAGGTCTCGACAGGTCACCCCAAGTGCTATTTACTGCCTGATCACACGGGTCAGAAGGGATCAGGCATGACATCAAA